GTTTATTGCCCTTTGAGTGTTCTGGTTAGTTTTCAGTAATGCAGAATTAAATTAAATTAAAATTAATCTTAATTGGTTAACATCATACCTGTTTTGCACAACTTAGATTAGAAACCCTTTAAATAAATTTTCAAAATAAAAAATATTTAAAAAGAATTCAGTGTACCCTTCTGCTGATAACAATACAATTAAAGCATAATTAGTTGACCTTTGAAGATATTTTGCACGGCAGCACTGATTTGTGCAAAAGAAAAACCATTTAATCCGAGCACACAGTGTTCAGTAATACTTCTTAATACACTCCAAATAATCCACAGCATCCATTTTCACCATTTTCACTGTCCCCAATCACTCTTTGAGGTCTGCTTACTGAAAGTGACACATTAGCTTACAAGTCTGGATCTTGACAAAAAAAGATGCTGTCAGACATCGCAGCCAAGACACACACATTTACAGCACATATAAACTCTCCACACACAGAAAAACAAACTAGTGTGCTCTTGCTCTCATTCTTTTTCTCTCTCAAGGCCTTTTCATTCTTCACGAGTCACCAACACACACATACGCTGGTTAAGACTCACACATACACACACACAAACAAACTCTCTCAGCTTCTTCCTCTCAATCTAGCCCTGTCAACAGCACTAGAGCCTGATACGCGTCCAGGGACAGAGGAAATGAGCGATGTCAACCAGTATTGTAATGCAGCAGAGCCGACCACATGAGAGGGGAAAACATCTACTGCGTTTTGTGCTCGTGGGAAATCAATCTCAACTCTTAATACGATGTTTTCAGGCTTGTGCTCATGTCTCAAAGAGGCCTAGAGAAGAATTACCTGTGTGTGTACGTGTGCATGTGCGCATGTACCTGTAATCCTACCACGTCTATGATGAAACCCATGCTCTGACTTGTCTGTAGGGTTATTTTCCTTCTACTGACACAAGGTTGACGAGCTGATGAAAGACCGAGACTGCATGGAAGCGTCCAATTATCCTGCTTAAGACAGTCTTATGCATACACAGTCCGTATTGTTCTCACCTGTTATTCAGCGAAAAGGCATGCATAAGATGATATTGCACAGCTAGAAGCATGACTCTGATCTCTCACCAGCCTTTATTTCTGCATTTTCAGGACAATGCACTAAAAAGCACTAATTTACTATCCGCTTCATGTACCTGAGTGATTGGAATCATTTGCATCATTGCCTCTTAACCACCTTTGTTATATGCTAAGATGATAGTGTCTGCAATTAACTGAGCGTGGTTAATAAAAAAAAGAAGAAGAAGACATTAAAGGAATGAAAAAGGGTGTGGGGGTTGTTTCCATGCAGCCATTTAAAATGTGAAAAATGTCACCACTGGGGCAAATTTTGCAACTTTAAGTTTTTTCAGCTCATGATTGGCTCCACAGTATTTAAGATTTGCAAAAACTTTTGGCACTATCCCAGAAGAATCAACTACCCAAAACAAAAAGCAGAACGCTCTTGAAGCTGGAATGAACTGCAGTAAAGTGCTCTCAGTGGGATTGCTGCTGACATAACAGGAAGTCATTGTTTCAGTGATTTAAGCAGCACTTTTTTTTTTATAATTATACATTGTAAACACTGAGAAAGACAAGCTGGTCCTAAACGTATGTGCACTCACTGGCCACTGTGTTAGGTAGACTGTAGTATTGAGCTGGACCCCTTTTTGCCTTTAGAGCTGCTTTAATTGTTCATGGCACAGATTCAGCAAGGTGCTGGAAACATTCCTCAGAGATTTTGGTCCATATTGACATGATAGCATCACACAGTTGCTGCAGATTTGTCAGCTGCACTTCCATGATGAGACTCTCCCATTACACCACATCCCTAAGGTGCTCTATTGGATTAAGATCTGGTGACTGTGGAGGCCATTTGAGTACAGGGAACTCGCTGTCATGTTCAAGAAACCAGTTTTAGATGATTTGAGCTTTGTGACACGGTGTGTTATCCTGCTGGAAGCAGCCTGCAGAAGATGGGTACACTGTGGTCGTGGACATGGTCGGTAACAAAACTCGGGTAGACTTAAAAATATGCTAGGTTGGTAGATCGTTGTTGCAGCAGATATTTAGACTCTTTCAGATCATTGGCTGACCGAAATGGCACTGTGTGCTCTTACAGATTTGCTTCAGGGACAGATATACTGTGCCTTCAGAGATGCTCTTCCACATAACTCTGTAACAGTCTGCAGTTATTGCAGTTATTTAAGTTACTGTTGCCTTGTTTCAGCTTGAAGCAGTCTGGCCATTCTTCTCTGACCTCTGGCATCAACGGGGCATTTTCACCCAGAGATCTAATTACTGCATATTTTCTCTTTTTAAGACAATTCTCCGTAAACACGAAAGATGGTTGTGTGGAAACATCTCAGAAGATCTATTTCTTAAGTACTCAGCCTAGCCCATCTGGTACCAACAACCATGACCATGTCTGCATGCCTGAATGGGTTGAGTTGCTCCATGTGATTGTCTGATTAGATCATTGCATTAACAAGAAGTGTATCAATAAAGTAGCTGTTGAGTGGATATATAATTATATGATCTTGTATGTATTTACTGGTTGCTATACATGTTTCTTCTATACTGGCCATAAAGAAGAAATTGCTTAGAAAGCAGTTTTGGTACTGTATGAGATTTGTGCCAAAAAACTGAACTACAAAGAGGCTATGGCACTCTGCCTTAGACACATCAGATGTTTTCTTACCAAATTACCGTTGTTTTAGCACAAAAATGTGGAGACTGTTTTCACCGCTGGCTGGGCTGGAGTAGAACAATAGCGGTACAAAGGGGCAAATTTGGTAACTCTGCTAGAATCGCAGACTCGTCAGATAAACTTCAGAGCAAATATTAGCACAGCATAAAGACTTGAGGTGATGCTCCTGTTTAGTTGATTTACAACTAAATTGCTTGTCATACTTTGTCCTAAATTCGACTTTCACAATACATTTTTAGGTATTTCAGATGGAATTGAAAGCGTATGAGATTTAAATGTACTGTATGTTAAAGGTGTGAACTGTACTGTAATAGCCAGTTTTCTGTGTTGATTGTAAAAACAATTATTATTGTGTAGGATTGAATTAGATTTCACAGTTGTGCTTAATAAAGTGGCCACTACATTTCTAGTGCATGGATGTATGCAGACATATTGATTGTAAGTATTAAACACTCCAGTGAGAGATAAGGGTGCATATGCAGGAGTCAAAGGTGAGGCGAAAAAGAAACCCAGAGTGAATATCAGTCTGTACCTGTAGGCTCTTGCAAATGCAGCTGCTATTTACTGCTACAGTCTATGTGAGAAGAAAATAAAAGAGGTTTGTTTGCTTTGGCACTAAGTATGGGTACAGAAAATTAGCAGAAATGTGATGAGGGTTTACTGTCACAGACAAACCTCCTGGACTATTTTCACGGGCCTAATTAGAAACTAATAACGCCTCCATTCTGCTGCCAAAACAAACCCTTTTGCTGTGAAAGGGATGGGCTCCGTGTCTGACTCACGCTACCCCACCTCTGCTTTGTTTTCCGTTAATTCATGTTAATGCTGCATCTTGTGCTTTTCAGAAATTTGAGTAATGTGAAAGAGGAAGCGTATTCTCCTGAGACTTTTATTTTAACGAGATAATAGTGCCATCTCTGCGTCTGCATTTTCCACTTTTTGTGTCGCTTTGTTTTTTTCCACCAAGCTCCTAGATTGCTGCTTTTTATTGCATACATGAATTCCCTCTGTTACCTTCCTGCTCTGGAGGAATACACTTCATATTAGCCTTCTTTTCTTGACTTCATCATTAAATGCTGCAGAAGCGTACCTAAAAAAGCTTTCAAACTGACAAAAAGAAAACAGCTACTGCTGATAAAGTACCTAATGGTATTCTCCCATTTTGGCCCCCTTAATGGGGCACTTACCGGCTTAGTCACTCATTTTCTTCATGCAGAAATTTGCAAATTTGTTTTCATCCAGTCAAAATGACCCAAGTTACTACAGGAGCTGCTACTTCTGCCCCTCATATTTCCTAGTATCTTTGCTCTTATCAATTAACCTCATAGAGCTCTGTTGCACATTAGGATTAAAACATCTGTTACTGACAGAGGGGAGTCATGTGGTCTGCCATTTGTACCTCCACCCTCTTTTTACCTGGATAAATACTGTTGGGCGTGGCAAGTTACTCCTGACTTGCATCAGTGTCCTAGCAGGAGATGTAGTAAACAGGCTTTTTTCAACCCCTGAGGAGCTCTGTTTCAGAAAAAAAGCTGTATGAAATTCAAAATCAGTGGAGACTCGGACTGGAAATAACCCCTGCATTTAAGAATACAACTTACTGTGGTCGGGTGCTTGTTTTGGGTGTCAGTGAGACATGAAATAAAATTTTAAAAATGCATTTTTTTCACATTAAAAAGAAATGTACAAAGTTTACATATGCAGTAAGGCGACCATCTAACACAGGTCAGCACTTGTTGGTTACAAGTGTTGATTCTGATTCACTTTGTTTCTGGAGCCTTGTGTTCATATCAGTGCAGCTACTGTTTAATTTGTGCTGAAGTCAGCTTGAACTACAGTTGTGAATAATGCTGTAATGACGGACAGAGCTACGCATGAAACAAAGGAGCTGCAATGATGTGTCGTGTAAACACAAGCTTCTTTACTGTTGTTCTGAGCAGCCAGAATAGTCAGACACAAGGAAAAATACAGCTTTGCCTAAAGTAAGGGCTGAGACTTGATAATGGTTCAAATGGGGATAATAGTGCACACTTTGAGGCAATCTTTTCTTGAAGGCACTCATGTTGCTTGTCCACCAAGAAATAGCTGTATGAAAAACAGAAAAAGAGAGCTTGCTAGAGTTCTAATGTTAGGAAGGTTTGGGGGTCTGTGGGATTTTATCTCCTCGCTGCCTGCCAGTAACAGCTTTAATTACTCCTCTTGCGTCCTCATACTGATCACATAGCTGAAATGCTTTTCAAACACCGCTTATCCCCATTTCTCTCCTACTTAGGACCATCTTCAGTGATCAGCAATGACGATGACTCTGCCTCTCCTCTTCACCACGTCTCCAATGGCAGCAACACTCCTTCGTCATCGGAGATGGGCCCTGACGCAGTAATCATCGGCATGACCAAGATCCCAGTGATCGAAAACCCTCAATACTTCAGAAGCACAAACAGCCTGCTCAAGACTGACACATGTAAGTAAAAGAAAAATCTGACTTATCTTTAACGTGGACCCAGATTAACTCTGATTTAGAATCAAACTTTTATCAGTTGATTACAAGCTACTATATACATCCTTCCTCGCTGTCATGTCAGTGACCTTGGAGCTACTGCTGATAAAATCTGAGGGAAGAATGGGAAATAGAAAGTCTAATTATATGCATGTTTGTGTGTGGCTGTGCCCCAGCAGAGAGAAAGAGAGCCACAGACAAATAGACAGACAGAAAATGCACAAGGATATTGACCTGGTCCATCAACATGACATTATGATTATTGGCAAGTTATAAAAGCTTCTCCAGGATTTGGCCTTGTGTTGCAGTAAATTATGGACCCACGCATTTGTGTATGTGTGTGTGTGTGTTCATGTGTGCTCATTCTGTTGAGAGCAAGGTTTAGGTTGTATAATAATGGGGGACTGGAGGTCGACCTCTTCAGTCCTGCATTATAACTAAAAGACTGACTGGGATTTACAGCCAAATGACGAAGAATGAAAGCGTTTAGGATCAATGAAAGTCAATAACACACTGTGGTGTATGTGCATGTGCCTGCATGTGCATTTTTAATATATTACAGCCATTACAACTATTACACAGTGTGTGCCTTTGACTCACAGACAGGCTGCATAAATACTGAAAGTATCTGACCGATTATTTGGCACTCCGCCTTTTCAGACCGGTACAATAGCCTTTGATGGAGACAGTTTGGCAAAGTGGCACATGGTTGAATGCCAGGAACTGAACTCTTTTTAAAGAGAGGTCTTAACCATCCTGTAATATTGAATGCAGGAGGAATCAGTAGCAGGTACACGTCTCTGCTTAAATGATCGCGCAGGCCTCTTTCGCGCAGCAATAAAGCAACAATTACTCTGCTGAGATGATGGATCTACGTGTAATTATGGGAAATGTTAGTGTGCTGCAAAGCTTCGGTTGTGCAACTGTCTTTTTAAGTGAGCACCTCATTAAAATAATGATATTAGCAGAGTTAGCATTGTTGGAAAGCAGGTCACAAACATTACAAAGAAGCTTCAGTAAAGCACACAGATATGAAAAGGTGGTAACTGTTGTGTTTATGTTTTGCTAATCACTCACATATACATAAATTTGGGTTTACAACTAAAATAGGTATAAGAGTATATGAGCATATTCTCCCACTACATTGACTATCATATCACACATTTCTTTCCACTAAACTTCTCTGGAGATTCAATTTGAAGATTCAAATTTCAGGAAAACCCTGTCAAAGTGTCATTCATTTTTTTTGGACCACTAAGACAGAAATTGCGCCATTCAGATAACCATGCACAAACTTGTTTTATTAAAGACCAATTGTGAATGGTTGAGACCCAGGCTGGAGTTTCTTGAAGGTGGCAACGATCTGTTGAGTTGGCTTCACTGAAAAGTGGCAGACTGACACGTTGTGGCAGACTGAGGAGACTAAGGCAAACTGGCAGTGAACCTGAGACACAGGGGCATACAGTTAAACATGGTTTCAAACAAGATCAAGAGAATACAAAACTAGACATGTGTTGCTACCAGGTTGGAAAAACTCTGGCAGGGACTGGAGCATAGAGTCAGTCATATGGGCTGAAGGGCTTCATAGGAGAGTGGATCACAGGTGCAACTGAGGAAAGAAGTGTGAACAGGATGCTGAGCCATGCCAAGACAAAGAGAGAGAACAAACAGGGGAGACTACAAGATACACAAAGAATGAGAGAGAGGTACACTCTAGACCATGGCAGCAAAGATTGTTTGAAATTTCAGGAATAATTGAACACTGATTCAGGCAGGCCAGGAGCCAAACAGTCTGCAAAACCCAGTAAATCAGCCAAATCAACTGATTGCTAGTAGTGGTTTCCCTGAAAGTATACACATGGCAAGGCAGGGATCCAAGAACAGAGTCATGCTGCCGCATATTAAAGATTGATGATAAATATGAAGGTGGTGTGAGTTCACTGTTAGCTTGCATTAGCATAAAAAATAGGAAACAGCTAGACTGGCTGCACCCCCCCCCCAAAAAAAAACAAAAAAAAAAACTGTCACAGTATATAAAATACATATAATTTATGGAATTTATGGTGAGCTTTAATAATTGATAAATAATCCAAAAATCAACACAATTCAATGAAGGAAGAAAAAACAACTGAGATAGAGGAGAACATAAATGTTGTGACAAATACTAAGGGAAGGATAGGACTATTTATACACTAAGGGATGCTTTGGGTGCATTTAATCAATACAGGTAAGGACAGACAGGGAGGAAGAGAAAAGTAGAGCAGGTAATGGATAGTAACAAAAATACTAAAAAAAAAAAAGTAGACACTAAACATGGAAGAAATCTAAGTATGTAGCGGAAAAAAAAAACTCACTTCTCTTTAACATGGACCCCAATCAACTCTGATGTAGAACTAAAGATTTATCAGTTGATTACAAGCTATAAAATAAATTTCTTCTTGCTCTCATGTGAATGACCTTGAAGCTGCTGCCGTAAGATCTGATGGGAGAATGGGAAAATAGAAAGTGTAGGTTTGTGTGTGACTGTGTCCCAGCATATGTTAAGCCACTCATAAATTCAAGACTTTCGTGGATGACTCATACACATACCAGAGCTAAAAGAAGCAAATCATGCTAGAGCTCATGAGCCACTTGTGGCTGATTCAGTTTTTTTGATTGCAAAGGCTAAAGACAACACGCAATAGACTAAGTGAGGTAAAAGGTCAAATGCTGTGGCAAAGATTATGGGGATGACAGGGCTATTTATACACCAAGGGATGATTTGGGTGTATGTAATCAATACAGGTGGTAACAGTTAGACAAGCAGGAAGAAAACACAAATAAAGCCACAAGAGAAAGTGAAGCAGGAAATAAACAACAAGATTAAAACAAGCTTAGCTTATTCAGGGCAACTATGGGAACTCGTTTCTGCCACTGGACAAAAAACCCAAAACCAAAAGCCCTTCCATATGTCAAAATTTAGGGTTAGGCCTCTAAATTTTGAGAAAATAAACTTCAAATATCAAGTTATTAAGTTGACATTTTTATATAATTAAAAATGCTGACTATAGAGAGCAACCATGTATAATGACACTGACAAATCAGAGAGGAAAGAGAAGGCAGAGAATCTAACAAAAGACATTAAGAAAACAAATAAAGGCAGGAACGGTAGTTAAGGCTCAAAATCCCAGAAACATAATCATCACTAGAATGACAAATCAAAACAAGAATCAGAATACAAAATATAATAATAATAAACTCTGAAGCTAAAACCATGAATATAAAGCAACAAATGACAACCAAGCAGGGACCCCAAAACTCATATTAGCTATATAAAACCTCAAAACAACACAAAACCCCAGGACCAAGGCAGAAACACGTGCCCACCAGCACCTGCAAAACTCAATAATGTACATTTATACAAAAACTGAAATGTTAATGACTGTAAATGAGAGGCAGAGGACTGGCTGCTAGTTATTTTACCATTTTTTGCCTTTGTGCAGCTAAGCTAAGCTGACTGAGCTCTTGCTGGATCCAACTATATGTGTAGGGTCACATATAGGGTCATGTAGGCTCATGTAGGTCACAATAGTAAAATCATAAACACCAAAAGTGTCTAAGCTTTTCATTGTAGTGTTTAAGCTCAAATAGAGATTTTAGAGGACTTGTTATTAATATCTGCAGTAGCAGTGTTGAAAAGTGATTTTCTTTCATCATCTTTCTTACATCATCCTCTTGGCTTTGTGTTCAGTACCTCTCAATTCTTCCACTGCTTCTATACGAGTTGGTCTTTTGGGCTTTGTATTTTTTGTATCCAGGGAATGGGATTAACTTCACTCTGGAAAATGTTATTCACAAGTCAACACGTGCTGACTGTATTTGAAGACACCGGTTTACAAAAAACATATGTGCACGCACGCACACACACACAGGCTGACGCACAAAATTTAGGTCACAATTAGCTACGCTTGCTGATAGGAGGGCGCAGAGTCAGGAAAAATCAGTGCCATGACATTACTGAAGAACGTTTGACGTTTCTGGTTGTCCTCTTCTCAAAGCATCTGTCAAACACGACTGTGTCTTTGACTTATCCTGTTGCTCAGTTCAAAGTACCGAACTCAGTTTTTCCAAGCTGTTCAAGCTGTTTTATGTCTGCATTCAACGCAATGGAAAGAATTTGGGAAGATGAGACGAAGAAGAACGGAATATGAAACAGATGGCAAACGGAGAATAATTATGTCCCCAGACATTAATTTATTTGGGAGTTCATAAGATGCTGATGAAGGATAGGTGTGATGGGACTCTAAATGATGTGGTGGAAAAATGAAGGCAGGAGGGCAAAAAAGGTGGAAGATGAGGGGGTCGATGGGAAATATTATTCTTCTTGATGTTAATATTGTAAACCCTGTCATAAACAGTTAATGGAAAAAAACTAATGGAGCAACAGAACGGGGGAAGAACCTGTGCCTGGATGTTAATACTTAGAGGATGCTGATTAAAAACTGATAGGTTTAGCAGCCGAGAGGAACAGCAACAGGGAGAGATAAATGGTGAAACAGAGGAACGCTAAATAAGGAAAGTGAGAGTAAGATAATGAGAATAGATGGAAGAATGCAAATGAGGGAAAATGAGTGAATATGATAAGCATGGAAAACGGGTACTAATTAGGAAAAACATCAGAGAGTAAGTGTGTTAAGTCTGGTAAATGAGGAATTATATTTTAGTAGATCTTAATTAAGGATACTGATTGAGGAGAAGGGGTGTGATATGTCGCACGGCATGTGGAGACACAGTGTAACAATGAAAGTGAGGTGGAAGACAGATTGTAAACTTGGCAAAAGGAAAGCAGCTGCAAAGCACAATTATTTAATGACTGAAATACGGCCATTAGAAATAAAGGACTTATTCTTTTACGCTCTTGATAGACAATAAATGCTAATGCTTGAATACATGCAAAATAGATGCGACGACACTGGAAATCTAACCAAAAAAGACACAAAAAAGAAAATTGCAGGAAAAGGTTGTGCGAATAACCACATCTTCCTGCCAAAGACTAAAGAAAAGAAAGGAGGGGAAAAAAGCGGTACGGGAAGCACTGGTCTGCAAACATCAATTTATTTGCTATTTGAGGATGTTAATTAAGGAGAAGTGGTGCAAGGCATTTTCATGGATGAATGCTTATTAGACAACTGCAGTAGGAAAATAGTGCGGTGAGGTAATTAGCTGGTTAAATGGTGGGTAGCTTTCTTGTGGGGATGTGAGTTTATTGTGCGCCGTTGTTGCAAAGGGAATTGTGGTGATCAGCGACATGTTGGTTTTTTTATTTGAGATGAAGACTCAATTTTAGGAGAAATAGATGATAAATAATTAGTAAATGATGAAACAATTTACAAATATTCTTGACTTTTATTCATGCTGATACCTCAGGATTATGTATTCAGGTTTAGAAGGTAGAAGTTATTCACATGCTGCTGATTTGCAAAAACGAAAAAGATCCGCAGCGTCACTTTTTCATCATGTAAACACATATTCAGATGCTTACAGGACTTATTTGATAAAACCATCCTAAACTATAAGCTGATGGGGTTTAGGCCCTTGCCATCTGAGTAAAATATTAAAAGGTGAACTGTGTCTGCAGTACAATGCATGACTTGTTTGTTTTGAAATGAAAATCTTTCCCCAAACATGACCATGATACTTTTGCTGGGTAACCACACAGCACATGGAAGAAAGAACTTCCTTATGTGGACTTTGTTGCTCTTTCAAACAGCATCGCTAGCTCTTGGCATCGAAGATTGCTGCAAGCCACCAATACGGAAGGACACCCAGTGTGTATCCCTGTGTAAGGCACTGGTTTCTGACAGAAGCCTGTATTTGAGGCCCGGGGACAAGAAAACGTCTATTTAGTGTATCATAGAATCTGCATCTGGAGTACTTTCCACCATCCTAACAGAAAGCCCAGTATGTTGTTTTTTCTTTTTTTCATTGACCGATAGAAGCTCACAGAAATCTTCCACACACAAGCTATCAAAATAAAAGAGAGGTTGTAGTATAGAAAACACACTGTCCTCCTTAAACCACCCACATTTTCTTTTTGTTCATTTTAGGGGTTTTTTGAACGCAGGACAGATGGGACTGAACGATCTGCAGTCTTTTTAATTAAAATGTTTTAATTCATTTTCTTATTTGACGTTTCCTTCCCATTAATTCACAAAGGTTACAAATGAAGGCCAAGACGGGATTTGACGGAGACAATATGCAGCCTATCACGTATCATAACAAGAATTTATGAGTGTATAAATGCCTTAAGCAAAACAAAAATATCATATGGTCTTGACCTCATATTTAATGCTTTTGAATATCTGATGCAGACCAGCTGTGTGTTTCTCTTTTCTCCGTAGGTCTGCAGTTACAGTATTGGGTTAGGATGGACCTCAGTAGCTTACAGTGTCGATCGATGCAGCTTCTTCAGAGAGTCTAGCTGAGCTTTAATGTGATATTCTGAGTGGACAGCTTTTCTTCAAATGCACCTCTTAATCACATCACACATAAATCTCAGCTCTTGGTGTGTGCGTGTGTGTGCGTGTGTGTGTGTGTGTGTGTGTGTGTGTGTGTGTGTGTGTGTGTGTGTGTGTGTGTGTCTAAAAGCGTGTGTGTATGTATGCATTTGTATTCAGGACCTAAACGAGCACAGGTATTACAGGATAACGTGTTTCTCTGCATGCAGACAGACATGGAGCACATTTGGCTGGCGATCAAAAGATGGGGTTTAACTAGGTTATTGTAAGGTCACGAGGCTGTTAATCATTCTGCATGATAAAACCTTGTACAATAACCGGCGAGATGCCAATTTTTTTATTTTCTATTTTTATTTTTTTTTTGAGAAATCAGCTGGTGTGGATTCGCGAGTTACTTAGCAACAGAGAGCAGAGTTGTCGACTCTGATCCAACTGTGGATGAGCAGAAGGCAGGAAGAGGTTAGATGCATGAAGCAAGCAGAGAGACACGTTTTTCAAATTTACATTACTGTAAAAACTGTGTTGAAGTCGTAGAAGACAAAAAAGAAGGAATTTGCTTATTTACTTTTGCATTTATTTGATACATAAATCAAGACATAAAATATGTATGCAGTAGAAAATGATCCCCAGATATACAGTAGATACAGTTATGAGCCTTTTTTTGGCTTTGAAATGAAGTAGATGAGGGATGAACAGTAGAGGAATGTATCTGCATGTGGATTGTGAGTGACAGAAACCATTTATTTTAACATCATTTTCCCTTTAGAAAAACCATGGGGGTTAACATGCCCTGCAGCTGTGCTTTTTGTTCAAAAAGGAGGAAAATCCACAGCTTCGGATTAACAGGGATAAATTGTTATAAGAGTAAAGGTTATTTTATAAGAAAACTGACAAGTTTCAGTTGATACTCCAATGTGATACTCCAAACACAAGGTCCAGAAAACAAGAAGCAACTGGGCATTTTAGAGAAGAGTAAAAATAGATTCAATTGCTCTTGTAAATACTGGCTACTTACTGGGTAATAGTGCTGAAAGAAAGTCGGTGACGAGAACATTGCTCTTACAGTGTAATTACAGACTAATAAGTAAAGAAAAGCCACACTTTATATTACAGACCTCATGCCTCATCAAGGCTGTGTGTTATGCGCTCTGTACTTTTACTCATTAACAGACGTTACTGCAGCGTGTGGGAGAAAATACAATTTAAAAGAAGGGAGGTTTATTACAACGACGCTGTGTGGATTTATTACCACGTGTCTTCATGTGTGATAGGAGAAAATGTTTGGATGATAGTTTTTGAACTACAGCAACTCATAGTGGGCGCACTGCAAATATACCGCTCTCAAGCACAACTACGCTAGGTCGCAATTGTTATCCAAGGTGACAAAGTCATGCTATCATGTGACTTCTAGAACTATGGAGCTAATTGTTTATGTCTGATAAGATGTTTATTTTCTTTAAGGACAGAGCAAGAATAATAGTTTTGCCACATATGCACTACAAAGATGCTATATTACCACATGCTATCAAGTCAACATTCAAATGTCTTCTTTTTGTGTAAAATCAGATGTCTTATGATGCAGTTTTCTCTTCTTTGAGTGAAATCAAACACCACAAAACAAATGACACCAGACTGACTCACTGCATGAGCTGAAGTCATTAAAGTATAAATGGCGTGCGATCAAAGCATCAATCCTGCTTTCCATCATCACTTCCAGCTCCTTGTTTTTATTTGTGTACTTCAGCTTGATTTACAGTTGATCTTTTTCTGGGCCGAACAAGCACTTTTGGCTTGTTTTTCCCTCCCATTATGCCAGCTTTCTTCTTATTGGCTGCCCATCACAAACAGAAGGTTTAAGCAGCAGGTTGGTGGGCTGTGAGCTAAGATTAGAAAAGCTCCCTAAAACTGAGCATTTGGGGCAATAGAAAAGAAACGAGGAAAAAGATTACCCCCCTCCCCAATTTATATGCATGTTTGTAACTTGTACTAAAAAGTTTTCCTCTTCATCTTCTCATTCTACAGTTGTCCAGCATATTAAAAGACATAACATTGTGCTGAAGAGAGAGCTGGGAGAGGGAGCCTTTGGGAAAGTCTTCCTGGCTGAGTGTTATAACCTTTCACCTGACCAGGAGAAGATACTGGTGGCCGTCAAGGTAATGTTGAAGTCCTAAAATTCCTAAGAAACATATTTATAAATCAGAGAATTAGACTAATTAATTTCATATTGATTCCAGTTTCTGAAAACACAAACTTCTTTTTGCAGCTTTTATAACTCAAAGCCCAGAAATGTAAATAAAATGTATCCTGTGTGCAGTAAAACAAACGGGTCAAGTTTCAACGTGAGATATTTTTAAATTCCTTTGGTCCTACAGAACAATTGATCATGTCAAAATAAAGCTCCTAAATGGCATTATTGAAGGTGAAATTATTGTGTGGATGCTTTAAGCATCCACACTATTGAGTTCCTGTTTCTCTTTATTCTTTATTATTATTCTAGTTGCTTCCGTACACTTTTCGCCGTTTAACTACTTCCACAATTTTTGTGCTATTTTCACCGTTCAAACTTTAAACTATTCAGCTATTTTTGCTAATTCCTGCTACGATTTTTGCTATTTTTAACTATTATACTTTTTAAAATATTAAGCTTTTTTCCTTTAATTTGTCCCATTGAAATGAATGGGAAACTTCTGCAATTCTGCTAAATTTTGCCTGTTTTTGAAACTTAACTACTTCCTCATATTTTCACCTAGAACAACCATTCAAATTTTAAAATGTTCACAAATTATTTGGCTATTCAGGTATGATTCAGCTTTTTCAAATCTTCTACTGTTTTACTTTTATGCCTCTTAAAGTTTTGAGTTGCAAAATTGTGATTTTTCACAAAATACATGTGTTGTTATGGTTGCTATGCTCTTGGCTTCCAGTGTGCCACTGAAGGTTTTGCAATTTTCACTTCATGTCCGAACAACTTCCTGCTACTTGCTCAATTTTCACTCAACTTCCACAAATTATACATCAAAACGTAGGTATTTTTGCTGGCTTTCAGAAAATGTCACCATCATTGTTGTGGGATTTATAGAATTTTTGCAAATCTCCTCAGACTAACACAAGGTCAGAAAACTCTCCATATAAAGTGAATGGAGAGCTTGTTCAAAATCACCGCTGGATTTCTGTAATGAGAGGCATATTCGAATCGTCATATCTCCTTAACGAAGCAAAGTTAAGACATGAGGCTTGTCCCCGAATATCTTCAGACACCCCTGACGCTCACAATTCAAGAATTTCTTTCTCACCTATTACCGTTCTGAAATGAGTTGGACTTGTTTGAGGGTAGGAAATTCGTCCTTCGCTCAGATTTCTTCAGATTTCAAACTGTGGAAATGAACCACTTTTTCCTCTCGTCATAACTTTTTGTTGGATTTCCACAGAGACCTGAAAATTTCCATGATTGTTCACCAAAGCCTGCTGTCTCTTACGGTGAAAGAATGATATCGATACTCCAAATAGATTTCGAGTTAGAAAGCGTTGTTTGAGGGCAAGTCAAGGCAGTTTTTGCTTCGCTCTACTCAGTTATGGTGCATTACAAGTCAAATATCTTTAATAATTCATATTTTAATGATAAATTGTAAACACTGGAAGATTCCCCCATCTCTTCTGAACAAAACGGTGTAAGAATGACCGCTCTAGCCCCTACGGTTTGGAAATTATGGTCATTTGTTTGAGGGGAGTCCTCACTATGAGAAATAGGCTGCAATAATCCTGTGCCTCTCTGTGCTGCGTGTGTAAAAAGAGGCACATGTTTTGGCGGGAAAAAGTACACAGGCTCTCTGATTGGTGGATTCAAATTCAGCAGCTCCCAGGCTGACCTAGAAACTTACTTCTCTCTCCCTGTGCATTTTTTTGCTGATTTTTTCATTTAACAAGTATATTTGAGGGACCCTCAGCATGTTCAGCATTTTTTCAGCTGTCCATTTTGCTTTTCCAATTTTTCTGTTTAACTTATTACTATTGTGCTAAATAATACTATTTCTGCTATTTTATAAGATTTGTGCCTAATATAGTATTTCTGCTAAATTACAATATTTCTGCTTTTTATACTATTTGTGCTAAAACATAGTATTTCTACTAAATGTAGTATTTATGCTTAATCATACTATTTCTGCTTTTTATGGGATTTGTGCCTAATATAGTATTTCTGCTTTTTATAGGATTTTTGCTCAAACATAGTATTTCTACTAAATGTAGTGTTTATGCTTAATCATCCTATTTCTGTTTTTTATAGGATTTGTGCTTAATATAGTATTTCTGCTAAATTATAGTATTTCTGATTTTTATAGTATTTGTGCTAAAACATAGTATTTCTACTAAATGTAGTATTTATGCTTAATCATAGTATTTCTATATATTTCTGCCAGGTCCCCAGGCAGCCAATCCTCTGTGAGGACTGAGAAATTCAAATTTTCAAATCAGGGCCTGCACGGCTTCCCAGCCAATCATATATGTGTCCTGAGGCATTCAAATTTGCATATTGGGGCCTTCATGGCTTCTAAGCCAGCCAATCATATCTGAGGGCTGAGGAATTCAAATCCACAAATCAGGGCCTGCACAGCTTCCCAGCCAGCCAATCATGTATGTGGGCTCCAGGTATTCAAATTTGCATATTGGGGAATTCGTGGCTTCTAAGTCAACAAGTCATCCATGTCATATATCTCTAAAAATTCATATTTTAATGATAAATTGTCAACACTTGAAATTCCCCCATCTCTTCTGAACAAAACGGTGTAAGAATGACCGCTCTAGCCCCTATGGTTAGGAAATTATGGTCATTTGTTTGAGGGGAATCCTCACTATGTGAAATAAACTGAAAGAAGCAGGTCTATGTCTCTGTGCTGCGTGTGTAAAAAGATGCACCTGTTTTGGCGGGAAAAAGTACACAGGCTCTCTGATTGGTGGATTCAAATTCAGCAGCTCCCAGGCTGACCTAGAAACTTACTTCTCTCTCCCTGTGCATTTTTTTGCTGATTTTTTCATTTAACAAGTATATTTGAGGGACCCTCAGCATGTTCAGCATTTTTTCAGCTGTCCATTTTGCTTTTCCAATTTTTCTGTTTAACTTATTACTATTGTGCTAAATAATACTATTTCTGCTATTTTATAAGATTTGTGCCTAATATAGTATTTCTGCTAAATTACACTATTTCTGCTTTTTATACTATTTGTGCTAAAACATAGTATTTCTACTAAATGTAGTATTTATGCTTAATCATACTATTTCTGCTTTTTATGGGATTTGTGCCTAATATAGTATTTCTGCTTTTTATAGGATTTTTGCTCAACATAGTATTTCTACTAAATGTAGTGTTTATGCTTAATCATCCTATTTCTGTTTTTTATAGGATTTGTGCTTAATATAGTATTTCTGCTAAATTATAGTATTTCTGCGTTTTATAGTATTTGTGCTAAAACATAGTATTTCTACTAAATGTAGTATTTATGCTTAATCATAGTATTTCTATATATTTCTGCCAGGTCCCCAGGCAGCCAATCCTCTGTGAGGACTGAGAAATTCAAATTTTCAAATCAGGGCCTGCACGGCTTCCCAGCCAATCATATATGTGTCCTGAGGCATTCAAATTTGCATATTGGGGCCTTCATGGCTTCTAAGCCAGCCAATCATATCAGGGCTGAGGAATTCAAATCCACAAATCAGGGCCTGCATGGCTTCCCAGCCAGCCAATCATATATGTGGCCTCAGCCATTCAAATTTGCATATTGGGGAATTCGTGGCTTCTAAGTCAATAAGTCATCCATGTCATATATCTCTAAAAATTCATATTTGAATGATAAATTCTCAACACTTGAAGATTCCCCAATCACTTCTGAACAAAACGGTGTAAGAATGACCGCTCTAGCCCCTACAGTTAGGAAATTATGGTCATTTGTTTGAGGGGAATCCTCACTATGTGAAATAAACTGAAAGAAGCAGGTCTATGTCTCTGTGCTGCGTGTGTAAAAAGATGCACCTGTTTTGGCGGGAAAACATAAACAGCCTCTCTGATTGGTGGATTCAAATTCAGCAGCTCCCAGGCTGACCTAGAAACTTAGTCCTCTCTCCCTGTGTGTGTGTGTGTGTGTGTGTGTGTGTGTGTGTGTGTGTGTGTGTGTGTGTGTGTGTGTGTGTGTGTGTGTGTTTAGTGGGAGAGAGAGGACCCTGCCCTTATTTGACAGCATGTCATTGTAGGATTTAAATTGAACATAGTTAGACTGGTTGACTGGATTAGAGCCTGTGTTTGTGTGTCCCTCTGTGCATTTGTGTTTCAATAAGTTATTACTATTCTGCTAAATCATAGTATTTCTGGTACTTTTCGGTACTTGTGCTAAATACAGTATTTCTGCTAAATTATAGTATTTCTGCTTTTTATAGGATTTGTGCCTAACATAGTATTTCTGCTAAATTATAGTATTTCTGCTTTTTATAGGATTTGTGCCTAACATAGTATTTCTGCTAAATTATAGTATTTCTGCTTTTATACTATTTGTTCTAAATTATAGTATTTCTGCTTTTTATAGGATTTGTGCTTAATATAGTATTTCTGCTAAATTATAGTTTTTCTTCTTTTTATAATATTTGTGCTAAAACATAGTATTTCTACTAAATGTATTATTTATGCTTAATAATAGTATTTCTATATATTTCTGCCAGGTCCCCAGGCAGCCAATCCTCTGTGAGGACTGAGACATTCAAATTTTCAAATCAGGGCCTGCACAGTTTCCCAGCCAATCAAATAAGTGTCCTGAGGCATTCAAATTTGCATATTGGGGCCTTCGTGGCTTCTAAGCCAGCCAATCATATCTGAGGGCTGAGGAATTCAAATCCACAAATCAGGGCCTGCACGGCTTCCCAGCCAGCCAATCACATATGTGGTCTCAGGCATTCAAATTTGCATATTGGGGAATTCGTGGCTTCTAAGTCAACAAGTCATCCATGTCATATATCTCTAAAAATTCATATTTTAATATTAAATTGTCAACACTTGAAGATTCCCCCATCTCTTCTGAACAAAACGGTGTAAGAATGACCGTTCTAGCCCCTACGGTTAGGAAATTACGGTCATTTGTTTGAGGGGAGTCGTCACTATGAGAAATAGACTGA